CGTATTTTAATTGATAAATAAAGACAATAAATGACTGAAACCCAGGAATTAATTTTGATTTGGAATTGAAACACAGTCAGGAAAGTATATACAAAACGTATAATGTGTGGCGTTTTCATAGATTTTACAGGACTAAAATTTGGAAATTAAAAATTTTCAGTCCAGAATCCAGAATCTCTTGTCGTGCTTCGTCGAATCACATACAACAATTTCATAAAAAACAAGTATATGTATATCAGATTACAAGGTAACCACCGTCAAAGTAAAAAAGACTAACTAAAGCTGCACCGTGCCATCTGGGAGGAAAAAGCTTCTTTAGCTTAACAGAAACTGGGTTCAAAGCTGAATTATTTGAAATCAGCAAAGGGAAGAAAGAGAAATAGGCAATGCCATAAACATTCAGTTGTTTCTGAAAAAACTAAACTCAGTTCAAGCTAACGGGTTTTTAGATCGAGATATTTCGTACCAGCTTGCTGCGCGCTGGCGCCTCATTCGCCATTTTCTCATTAATCGTCCAAAAGCCACACACAATGAAGATCCACACTAAATTGAAAACTTTAATCCGCAAGTTAGCAGGCAGGAAACCCATTAATCTTTCACTTCGTCGCACCAAATTATTCTATATATCCCGGAAAGGAACTACGACCTACTTTGTCCGTTGGTCGTAACAAACTGAACCAAATGTTCACCTTTTTGTGAAAAACTCATGCGATAGTGAAGTGTTTATCGAATTCCAAACCCACCGAACTACAGGACTAACATTATGATATAATCGTTTCGTTATCGTCCCTTGGATGTCTCATTGCTGGTCGATTTCAGTTTTTTTATTGTTGCAGAAAGTTTCAATTCATTGGCAAACGTTTTTCGTAAAAAAAGGGATTTTTGCGTCAAAGACAAAAAATCGTACATTACTATTAACAGATAAGAGAAGTAAAATGTATGTGTTTTGAATCGATGTTTAGTTCGTAAATAATCGGAGAAAAGGACATAATTTCCATATAAAATGTAAGTGAATTGAAGGTATACTTTGGCTCTCGCTGGTAGATATCGGATTTCAAACAAAACCCAAGTCAAACACGTGTTGAAACTCAAATACAAATCTCTGTTTTAATTTACCCTGGAATTGAAATGGAACCGGGTTATGCTAATACCGAATGCGCGTCTGTACAGGTTTCAATTTTCATTCTCATCAAGCAACGACGTTATCCCGACAAGTCGCAAAGGTGGTTTTGCTTATTTGTTATCTGAATAATTTACAGAGCCGCAGCACGTCGATTTCGATAAAACTGGGAACTTTGAAGATGTTTTGCTTGCTTCTTCTTTTCCTTTATTTTCCTCTAATAAGTTTTTGAGCGGCATTTATTTTGTTTAGATTGTTTTTTTGCACCCACAGACTAACAAACACAATGTTATGTTAAGGCACTTTATGGGCTGCTTTTTTCGGGGCATTAATCGTCCATCAAAGTGAAATTCCTGGAGGAAAACACTTGGCACGCAAAAAAGGTAACGTCGGCCCACGTACGCAACTTTAGGGACCATAAACAGAGAGATTTCATGGCTGGCAATAAAATAAAAATAAATGCCCCAAAAAATTAGTCAACTCATTTGACACAGGGCTCAAACGGTCCAGCTCGCAAACATTTTATTGTTTTGGAAAGTTTTGCAGGGCTTTTCGAGTGGCCGCCAACATTTGATCGGTGATAATCTAGCTGAATTTTTTTTTATATAAAACTCGCTGCTAGTCGCTCCAATTGTGTGAGTGTTAACAGGGTTAACTCGTTATGTGGGAATTTATTTAGTGAGAGTTAAAATAACGTTAAATTTACGATGTCCGCAGTTTTAAAACACGGCAAATTTTGCGCGGGGATCGGGAAAAATGGCCACGTTTTATAGGGGAGACCTGGGCTAGTTGTCGTAATCGATATATCGCCAAAACTAGGGAACTCTATTTCTATTACAGATGGTTAGAAATTTTAAAAGAACAACTGCTCGGACTCCCGCCGAAAAAATCTAAAACTTCTTGAATTCAAGCATTTTTTGAGAAAACTGCCAACATTTTTCCATCCATGGTTCACTTTCTAAAAACGCCATTTATTTCTGTCTAGAATGATGCACACATGAGCATTCTTGCTCATTTTGCCTCCGAGATATGAGCAAAAACGGGCAGGAAAACATGAAATTTTGGCATAATCTTGAACCTAAGTGTTTGATGTTCAAATTTCGCTTTCTGGGCCAAAACTATTCGAATTTCCTCACTCATGTTGTTACGACTGAATCGAGTTTTTAATTCTCTATCCAACCATGCCAAAACGAATTCTGTGGCTCGAATGGTTCTTGAGAAACTTCGAAAAAAGCAGCGTCATGTTCTAGTGGATTTTGCAACTCAAAAAAACCCCGCAAATCTGAAACTCCTTGAATTTAAGCCTTTTTTGAGAAAACTGCCAACATTTCCCCATCCATGGTTCACTTTCTAAAAAGGCCATTTAGTTCTGTCTAGAATGATGTACAAATGAGCGCTCTTGCTCATTTTGCCTCCGAGAAATGAGCAAAAATGGGACGGAAAACATGAAATTTTGACATAATCTTGAACCTAAGTGTTTGATATTCAAATTTGGCTTTCTGGGTCAAAACTGTTCGAATTAGCTCACTCACGTTGTTACGGCTGAATCGAGTTTTCAATTCTCTATCCAACGATGCCAAAACGAATTCTGTGGCTCGAATGGTTCTTGAGAAACTTCGAGTAAAGACCATTTAGTTATCTCTGGAATGATGTAAAAACGAGCGTTCTTGCTCATTTTGCTTCCGAGAAACATGCAAAACGGGACGGAAAACATGA